CAGTATAACACTCTCCCAATGTGAGAAGTAGAAGTCCTTTGTTTGAAACAATTAGTGTTGTCCTGGAAGATATTCTTTAAAAGGAAGTCCTATGCAGAACCAGGTACATTATTATTTCCTTTCTAGTATTTATAACTTACTATTCAGTACTGTATTCTAGAAGTCTGTGCATCTTTGACTTCAGGCTGAGCCATCAATTCTACCTCCACACATTTATAGGTATGATTTTATAACATGTAAAGAAAGAGTAGCGCGGAACAATGAAACTGGTTGTAAAACTGACAATAGAAATCCACAAAGGTCTATAAAGTGTAGGACATGAATACTTAACTGAATATATATTATCATAGGTGATCTGTTAGCCGTACTACTGATATTCAGCAAAATGGATTATTAAGCATCTCATCTGGATATTGTGAAAAGTAGATACAAATTCTAATGTTCATGAACTCTGTAGTGCTAGGTAAAGTAAGAAATGCATACTTTATCTAGAAAATTGCATGTGGAGTTTTGTTTGCCTTCCTTTAGTATTCACTTTCAATATATTGCTTAATTTGAATTATAAATGAAAACTTCAAAATTAAAATGGTATTTTCTCTAGAGCTGAACAACCCTATATAAATGATTTTAAACAAATACCACTTATGTATTATTTTTAAACCCAAGAATTTAAAACAGCATTCATTGTACTGTAAAAAAGTTTCATTAATATAGTTAGAATGATCTCAAACCCATTCTAATTCTTCTTCAGAATGAGGAAAATAAAAATGTAACTTTTCTTTCATAGTTAGCAATCATAAGTGTGTACCTGTTTTTCATTAGTGCTTTTGGAACTATTAACTGAAATTAAAAAGTATAAGCTGACAACTCTCTGAGGCTATTTGAATAAAAAGATATTATTCCCTTTACATGACAATCCATTAACTTCTGGTTCCTCAAAGCCACTGAAGAACAGGTGATGGAAAAGCTTTAACAGTTTGCAGTTACGAAACTGTGAATAAATATGCAAATTGTGCAAATATGTGCAAATTATATTAATAAAAACATTCCTGTTCAGAATGCAACAGTGTCAATCAGTTAAGGAAAACAAACCTATGATTTTTTTATTTCCTCATCAAAATCCCACTGCTTTTTTCCCCTCCTTTCTCATCTCATCACTTGGAAAGTAGTTCTAATGCCTGAAATATTAGGGCAGTTAGAAGTTGATAGCTTCGAGGCCCACTTTGTTCCTAACCAGGAGACAATTCTTAGCACACCGTTTTGTGGTGTTTTGGGCCTAATGCTGCGAGCTCCCCGCCCTTGTGGGCTTCAGCAGGGTGCGTGGGAGCACGTCGCTTCCAAGTTGGGCCAGGACCGCACTGATATGTCTACCGTTACCAGTATTCTGTTCTGTAAACTCTGTTGGATTTGGAATCTCTGTGGACTTCAAATCTGTGTTGAAACGAGCCTGAGTTTGGGTGGAAGAACGGTGTGAATGTGTTTTCAGGACAGGATAGCTCTGTTCTCCTTTGGGAAGTCTGAGTTGTAACAGAGCCTAGAACCAGGGCTGCAGGCTGCTGCCTACAAACAGCTACACCTTGGCATTTCAGCTAGCTGTTTCCCTACAGGTTCAACAGCATCAGACGGATGATTTTTTATGATAGGATGTCTTGGAACCGTAGATTAGGACAGTGCTAGAGAAATCTTTTTATTCTTGCTTGTAAAATAAAGATACTGCTGCTATAACAAGGTGGACCAAGACTTGAATGAATCCTGTCTCTGACTGTGTGAAAAACACAGACATGTGCCACCTGGATGTATGTCGAAGATGACCACACCTCTGGGATTAATGGAGGTGAACTGTCTTGACATGCCAAGGAAAGTTTTGAGGTCGATACTTTGTCCTGAATTTTTATCTAGAGCTAGGATTTTCTACTCTCTCTTTTATTTAAACTATGCTGCAGAAACCCACCTACTTCTAATGCCATGGCAGAAGAGGCAGGAGGCAATGCTGAGTCGTGGAGTGAACATGTCTCATCACGACACCGGACTGGGAGGCATACCTTTCTTTGTAAACAAGATCTGCGGGCACACTATGGTATTGCACTTTCAGAGATTTCCTTCTGTTTCATCAGGACACATCAAGACACATTTGAAAAACTTTTAAAGTCCTTTTTATAATACATTGACAGCACCAGCTGACCACCATGCAACTGGCAATGAGCTCATTATCTCAAAAGTTACAGCCTGTAAAGGAAACAGCTTGAAATGCATTTCTCCTTTATGACATTGCTAGTTTCTTCAAGTAGAAGAAACTGACTGTAATGCCAAATTTTGATAGCTGCTGAGGAAGGTGTCAAAAGTGTTTTTTCTTTAAATAGGCCACCTCTAATGTTCAAACAAAATGTGTGTGTGGTTTTTTTTTAATTTATTCTCATAATAGTTCCATATTTCTATATTTGACAAAGGCTGTACTTTGTAAACGTTGTAGAAAATATGCTGTGGAAAGGAAGGGTATTTTAAGAGAGTGTAAAATAGTTTTCTTTTTTTAAACAAAAATATTCTAAGTAAAAATAACTTTGCTTCGCAACAAATCTGAAGTTTTAGACTTTACTCAAATTCTAAAATATTGATAATCTATGTGACATTATATGAATAGCCAAGATAGGCCCTCACACGGCACATAAGCAAAAAAAGCAAGCTAATTAATCATCTATTGCATCTAGACACTATTAAAGTATCCAGATTACATAGCCAACAGCTAGACACAGCTTCGGTAGTTAATTGGGGTATCTAAAGTAGGATTCAAAAGACTAATAAACAAAATACTGCATTGTGATATATTTCAGCAGCCAGAATACTGGCTGGCTGACAGCTGGCATTCTCAAGTCCTTTGAGGAGCAGTAAGAGTGAGTGAGCAGGAAAGAACCAACTTCATTTTTGCAAAGTAAAATAAGTAAAATTGGAAAATATATTTCCTATTAGTAATTGCATACCTCTACTTGCATGTAAAGTACTGGAAAATCTTGTGGCAGAAATTTCTCTGAGACACAACTTTTCTTTGAAGGGAATTTACATTAACCAAATTTTAGATGCATATGCAATCACAGTTCCAGATGAAACACTAGTAAATTTATCATATTTATCACAGGAATTAACCCTTACCTTTGCCACTCCTCTTAGTTTTTCAGGCTATGTGAGTTCTACAGATCTCAACAGGATCCTGAAGATGTTCCAGTTTTCATAAATGATTCTTTAGGTTTGCACTGTGACATAAACGTCAAGATGTTCACAGTCTTACCTGGAGCAACTTACTGCTTTAGGTAAGGTACAGCAAAGAATGGAAAGGATCACTGTTTCTGTACTGGAAGCCAGTATCAATAGCAGAGCAGAGGAAGGAAGTGCTTTGTAGGGTATAGCAGGAGATCACTCAGGATATGCTACATATTCTGTAGTGCTGCTTCCTGGCTCCTTAGTTACATAGAAGACTTCTTCATGCTCCTTGAAATTCTCTGCATTTTGTGTATTTGTATTAAGATGTAATTCTGAACTCTCTAAATGTATAGCTTTTATCTTCCTCCTGCAGCTATGAAACATAGGACCCAGAATCGCCTATCTTTGAGCAGCACATCATGGTCATAGCCTCAGTAATTCACATCCCACATTTAAAATTGCCTATTAATTTGAGTAAAATTAACCATATAAATGCTGACTCCTAATTAGGCCAGAACTTGCAACCAAAGCAAATTTCTTCAGTGCAGTTACTCACATAGGTAAAAAGAATATTTGTGGAATCGTGTCACAACCAACGATAGATGATGAAAAAATGAAAATTATGACAAAAAAGAAAACAATTAGTGTTGCTTTGTAAGCATTACACTCTCGTGGTCAGGAGTTTGTGTATGCTTGTGTATATGTTCACCCCCATATACATACATGCATATGCCTTCTTTGTCTTTAAGAAGTGCTAACTGTTATTAGGAATTACAAAAAGAAGACTTGCCAACATTATATACAAAGAGAGAACACACACATACACACACACCAAATCAGATCTCGCAGTTCCTAAAGTAACAGTTCTTCCTAAAAGTAAATAACTGCTTCAGGCTTGAAAACAACTCAAAAAACAAAGTGATCAAGGCAGAATTTATTGTCTCTCCCAATCTTTCTACTCACTCCAGTAAAGTATATTTGACAGAGAAGCTTCTATACTAACCACATAAATACTGGGAATGGAATTACACTCCCACTGGCATCAGTCACTGCAAATCAGTGGGAAAAAATGTTTCCTGTAAACACAGTAAATCTCAACGTGTTGTCCTCCACTTCTACTCTTCTTTTGCTTTAGTAAAAGTGGAGGGCATGAAAGATGTCCTATGAATCAAAGCTTGAGCGAGTTCTGTAAACAGGAATGGTGAATTGGCAACCAAAGCCGAAAGCACTTACTGTTAGCTTTTCTGCAGATATAAAAGGTGTCTACATGCTTCAAGGACCGTTCTGGAACAGAATGCTATAAATTATTGAACATGCAGTGAAATCTGTAGGATAGGTCTAGAGAAAAACATCTTATCTGAAAGGACTCAAAAGATCATAATCTGAACATCTTTTTCAGAGCATTCTTAGAATTTGACTAATTATTTATCATATATGGGATACAAAGGCTGGTTTTAGACATGCTACGTCAATTTGTAAGCCTCAAAAGTATTGTTTATCCTCAGCATAAATGGTACATCTCACTTCCATTTTACTTTATTTCTTTACTGATTTAAATTGTCTTTAGCTTGATGTCTTTTTAGATCAGTTATACCTGAAGAGAGATGACTACTCATCTAAGTATCGATCATACAAACAACAAGTTACTTTCTTACTCCGGTAAGGTATTGGTGAGATGATGTATTCACTGCTGAATCAAGTCAATATAAATAATATGAGACATATATATGTTATATTATATATATAACATATTAATATAATATAAAAGAGATATGGAGAGCTCAACGCTCCATGTCTGCAGGTTTTAACATCATATCATGAAGTGACACAATTGCTGCTGAGAAGAAAAAGGAATGATGAATTTTTCCAGAAGTACAGTTTAAGGCAACAAACACATCTGGTACCACACAGAGAAACTTGCCCTCAATTGCCAGACCATGCTACCTGAGATCCCATACCTAAGTGCCTGACAACTGGGATGGGAGAAAAGTATTAATAAGATCAGTCTCCCTCCGGCAGTCTGGATAAAGCTGGGAAAGTCTGTTACAAGGTCTCCCTTGTCTCTTGGTTAGGGAAAAGCATGTCTCACTGCTACTTTCTTGCCTATTCAGAAGGAAGGAAAGAAGCAAGAAAGCAGCAAGCAAGCAAGGGGAAAAAAACGAGCAAAACAGAGAAGTTCTGTTGAGGTCATGTTTCACTCCATTCAGAGGCTAATGCTGTTCCAGGGACTGGGAAGAATTTCAAAGAACAATGCATTTCTTAACTATGCTTTTCCCGCTGTTGATTTTCTCACTTCATTTGAGTTTTTCATCAGTCAGCAGAAAGGCAGAGAGCTGGGCAGCTGGAGGGGAAAAGAGGAGGAATGCTGCCTTTACTGATAGCTGAAGAGTGGCAGAGAGAAGGGCGTCTTTCCTATTCCGGTCATGCAGAAAGTGGTGCGCATTACTGTAGGAGTGACAATGTGAGTTGGAGACTACTAATTTCTATTCCCTTTCAGCTAACTGGATACATTTTTCAAAAGCCAAAGCACTGTTAGATTGGGAGGTTAGTGCCTCACTGCCCTTAATGCTTTGTACTATGCATTTGTATTTGTAGCAAAACAGGTCTGCTAAGAACAGGGATCTTTCAAAACTGATTCTGCAATGTGTAGATAAAATATATATTGTTATCCATGCCTTTTCTACTTTTCAGAGAATGATGGAATTTTTGCTTTTTTTGTTTTGTTTTGTTTTGTTGTGGGAATAGGAAGGCATGTTTCTTAGGCCACTATCACCTGTAAATATAATTTCCTCCATGGCCCAACAGCTTTTGTAATAGCATAGATTAATTAGCATTAGCATCTTTTTGATTCCTTGATATTCCAAAGAGTCTCATATAAACATTAATCAAGAGGTTTAGCACTATAATACGATAATAATATATAATTACCCAATAGATTGATAAGATTTAAAAATGCTGTGTCGTTAATATTCTTAAACATAGAGTCATGCAGTCCCAGTTGTCTGTTACATGTTGACGTATCAGCAGCATGAGTAGTTGAAACGTGAGCTCTGTCCTGAGGGAGGCCCGTGCTGATACATAGCTTCTTTCAACAATCATCACTTGTGAGCATCAGTGGGATGTCACAGCACTCAGCTCTTGGCCATCCGTGCTCAGCCTGCAGCCCATGAAAAGAAGCTCTCTGAGCCTGGAAGGGAGAACGCCAAGGATTTGCAAAGTCCACAGAAATCTTGATAACCACCCACAACCACGTCTGCTTTTTCAGTGTCACGACTCCCTGATATCCTCAGGATGTTAACAGCCTTGACTTTTGCGAGTAACTTGTTGAAAATTTTCAGTACTCCTGACCGTATGCAGGCCTTTCACAATACATCCCTGCCAGTCTCGGGCAGTTTCAGCTATTCGGATGTGGGAAGCAGAAGTGGCATTTTGGCAACAATCTCTTCCAGTCACAGAGCAGAAATAGAGGAAATTCCTGGGAAATTAAGAAGCAGCAAAGGGCCCTCCAAGTTCTTTCCCACCGAGCAGAAGCACCATATGCACACCCTTCTGACACTGTTGCCAAAATTTCGGTGCTATCTGGTCAAATTTAAACAGAAACTTACTTAATATGACTAATTTTATAAACTAAGTCATTTAGTTAGTTTATAAACAATTTTATAAACTATGACATATGTCATAGTCTCTATGACATAGAGACTACCCATTAAAGAAAACACCATTAAAAGTCAGATATCTGATTTATGTGTCTGTTTTGGGGGCAGAGTGGGAAAAAATTGAAGATGCCCCAAATGACTCCAGAGGTATGATAATCACACTATTTACAGGTCACGTGCCTTTATACATAGCTGTTTAACTGATCTGAAATGTGAAAGACAGATATAATATGTATATATTCCTTGCTTCTGTACCCAGCAGCACACTAAGTTGTAAAGTTAAGACAACAAGCAAAAAGGTGTACTTTGACCTTTCAATACAAGTGTTTTAGAAGGAACTATTTGTTAACTGCCACTGGGATTGAGTGCTCCAGAGCATGTTAAGCCTTGCTAACCTCCCGGTTTTGCTTCTGTAGATCAGAGACTGAACATGACAAATACGCCCATCGATATATTCCTTGGAGGTACACATCAGCAACCTTGTTAAGTAAGAAGTTATGGTAAGTAGTATTTGAGATGTTGCAATCAACTATTGTTACAAATTGAGGCTGAACAGATCATTTATTTATTCATTTAGGGCAGTAGGGAGGACACATTACATTTTAAACAGCTTAGCTATAAATACATTTTTATACTGAGAAAAATGGTTAAAATAATGGATATAAATTTTATTTTTGATGTTACAGTAAATTGTATGTATTCTTTCCTGAATATATATGTGAATTAGCATTTTTATGTGTCCATAATGTGACCTTTATGTTTTAAAGTTTCTTTAGGAAATAGTTCTGCTAGAGTCTGTGCAGTTTTTACCAAGTCCTTAATGAGAGGCAAGCAAGTCTGTGGCATCTGTCCCCTACAATTTCATACAATGTTATGGGCACTCTTGGAAATTATAACCCATCCTCTTTCTGAAATTGTCTATCAATGCACTTTTCAACATCAAAATTGTTTGTTGTTTTTGTTGCTGTTGCTGCTGCTGCTGCTGCTGTTGTTGTTGTTTATAAAACACGCTTTTCCAATAGGGAAATGCTGTTGTTTATTTCAAAAATGTTTATCCTTGGGAGGGAGTAAGGGGGAACTCAATCGAAAATGCTTTTTTCCATTTTTTTTTCCCAAGTCAGTTTGGCAGTGAGCTGCTACGATGTAAAATGAGATCAGCAAATGGTTATCTCCTCTTCTGTTTGTCTTTCATGGGCTGGGATGGGTGGATTGAATTTATTGTCTGGAATATGACCCACTTAATACTAGTCACTGAGCTAAACAGTGGGAATCATAAGACTGTTGTGCTGTAGAAAGTGCACTTTTCACAGAATATATACTTATGAAAACAGCCAGCTATCTTTAGTGACTTTTATTTTTACATTAAATGTATTATTGGAAAAAAATGTGGGTCCAAGGTTTAAAAATAATAGAGCTCAGACTGAGCCTGATTCTATCAGTGCCTGTCTGCCTAGCACTCCAATGGGAAGCAGACAAATACAATTTTTTTCTTAAAAAAATATCCTTTATTATGCCAGAAAGATGTGATTTAGAAACCTTGTTATTGAGGCTATGTGTGAAACACTTTGAAAGATCATCCCTATTACTGATCAGCTCATTGTTTATCATTAAAAATATTTGTCAAACTATGAAAAAAAAACAAATACTTATTTATTTTCAGCATATTAGCTAAAGCATTAATTGCTTTCAGCTATTAGAACTCCCTAATGAGGAACTAATATTAATTCATCTAACAAAGTTCACTTTTGTTTCAGACACTCACCGAGGTAATTAGTAGACTCCCTTCATTCATTAACATTTCAAATCTCATTAAAATGTAAATGGTGGGTAAAGTTTTTGCGTATTAAAGGGTATTTAACAGCATTCATCATAGTAAGTAATTTGGTCTTCATTAATTATAAAGAATATAGTAAATAGTCATTTACTTTTGTGAAAACAGCTGGTTAAAGGTTGTTCTACTTACGATTTTTAGTGCTGCAATCAAAATGGATGATTCCTTGTATAGACATAATTAGTTTTTAGCACTGCACTAGGTGGTGTACAGATTCGAAGAGATTGCAAAAAGGGTTCCTGTTCATCATGCAGCCCTCTGTGCTAGACAAGCACCTCGAAGTAAAGGAATGTCTCTAAGCAAAAAGTCACTAGTCTACAGATTACCTCCCACAATTTAGACTAAGGCAACCACACCATTTTTGATAATGACTCTAATGCTCATGTTCTTGTAAAATGGCATTTCAGAAAGGAAGAGAACGGGTTGCATTAGATAGATAAGTTTACTGAATCTGAAACTTTTTCGTATGGATGCCCTTTACATTTGTAATTTTTTTTTCAAGCTAACAGGTAATGGTGAGCAAGTATTTAACCTCTAATTCATATTTATATCTCTTTGCAGACTATTTTTAACAATTGTTGAGACTTCCATGGTTCTGAGCATAGGAGCAGAGAGTGGGCAAGGCAAGAACGGAACAAAGGAAGTACAAAGACACAGATGCTGCAATAAATCTGGACTGACCAAGGCAGGAAATGCTCTGAAGCTTAACTGGTAGCCAGAAAGCAGTCACCAGCTCCTGTAGTGCAGACACACTGAGAGCTCCTGTAGTGCAGACACACTGAGTCTCTGTGGCACTAGTCCTTTAACAGCATGTAGCTTGAACTGCTGCAGCAGATGCCAGTGCACCTGATCCTCATTTCTTTTTTTTTTTTTCCTGAATTTTGAATATGTTTTTATTTTGCCATTCCCAATAGTCCTTTTTTCCCCCCCCCCAATCCTTCCTATCATCATTTGTAAGGTTCTTATATGTCTTTTAGGAGTAAGACATCCAGCCAGACCTAATCATTTAAGTCTCACTGGGTATCATTGCTATACGGACCACTCATCTGCCAATATATCAAAGGAATCAAATTTTCAGTCTGAATCAGGTCACATAAAATCTGATTTGCACACTAAAATTTAACAGGCTGCTTAAAACTAGCTGTTTTCTGTTAGCATTTTAATCTAATAAATAAACAGGGCTTGCTTTGGCTTATAATGCTTGACCTTTACATACCTTTAATCTGTTTCTTTTCTGTCCTAGCATGTATGTCTTCATTCTCTCCATGTTGATGCAACCCGTACAAACACAGAGATGAAAGAGGAAAAAGATAAACAAGAGGAACAAGCTGAAAGACATAAAAGTGTTAAGATTTATGTACATTTCCATAAATTCAATTCTAAATTAAACTGTTCTTTTATTTCCTCTCTTTTTAGAGTAGTTTAACTCCCATTCTGTCCGTTTTTTATCCTTATGTCAAGAAAGGTTCGGTGCTTGTTTCATCTGAATCATTTTATATAGGTATAATGGTTAGATAAATTTGACCAACACTTACTAGAATAGTTTGATTTTTAAGAATGTATTTAAAGTTCATTTCTCTATAACAGAGCAATTATCTCAAAGTACGTGGCAATAGCTGGCATTAGCTGCTCAGCATAATTTACAATATACTGAGAAGACAAAAATTGATGCCTGTTTTCTTTTTTTATAGCAATTTTTGTAATGAAATATTTTCTTTCACACTTCCTAAGAAAGTAGCTTTCATAAGCATTCTGAAGTGCCATCCTCAAACAAAGGATTTATAAGCCAATTGAAGGAACATGCTTACTGTAAAATAAATGAGTGGCTTTTTTATGAAGGGGAGCATAACATGCCTTTTCATTTGATGAGCTCTAAAAGAATCATTTGGAACATATGACGATTTTGGCAAGACAGCAACCTGTGCAACTTACCTGCTGAGTGACTGAAAACTAAGAATAAATAATATCATGTTCTTCCTAGGTACTGTAGAAAAGATTGCCTAAATACAGGACTACATGCCAAAAGTGGAGCTTGACCAGAGTTTGGTACCAAAATGTTCACAGAGAAATGCTGATTCAAAACTTTTGAAGTCCAAGCCTGAGGGTGCCAGTGCTCCAAAACCTGCTGATTTATTTTCTTCTTTCAAGCATTTTGAGTCGCACCTCTGCTCGTCCTTGGTACTATCCCAGGGTAAGCAGCTTAATACCATGTCCCCTCTAGTGGTAAAACGTGTCATTTATTTATCCTAGTGTGCCAGTCTGGAAGGTATCCTGCAACACCCACTTAGGAGACAGGCTGCCACAAAATGCCTTTGTGGTCAGTATTTTTTATGCCACCAAAATTGTGGTTTATCATTCAATCTACTTTTTGCTTAAGAGATTAGTGATTAAAGGTTGATGATGTGCTCAGTGACTTTGTATGAGAAGGAAATTCATTAATCAGTAGCAAAATCAGACTCTTTCTTATCTTCCATTTTTCTTGCTCTATACATCTTTAGTTTTTACATTGAATGTTGGCACAGCTCCTTCAAGGCACACAGAGAGATCTTTCACCCAGTATGGGCTATATCCTGGAAGTCAGCGCAATATCTGATTAGTAAACATAGATGTGAACTACCTTCAGATTAATAAAACAATTATATCTAGGTCTCTTACCGCCTCAGTAAGTGCTTTGCCTGTCATGCTCCTGCATAAAGAGAGGAAAGGGGGAGTTTCCAGCAGATGGGTTTCTAGAGAAATGTTTGACCTCTGCTTGGTTCTTTGAGGGAAAATACCTACTTCTGCAAATCTGAGGGATGGATCACAAGTGCAGGATCTTAGATTTGTGCTTGTACTTGACATTTCCTTATTGACAGCTCTAGCATGACCCTTTGCTCAACACAGTAGCTCCTCTAAATCCTATCCAGAGACATTTACCTCTTGTAGGAACAGTGTGCACTGTTCAGAGAGGCTTGGCACCAGCGCTGCATATTCCACACTGGGGTGAATGTGCAGAAGGTAGAGATTGTAGTGCCTAATTGTAAGCATCTATTTATTTCATTGAATTTCATTTTACTGCCATCTTTGCTGCAGAATTCCTCAAGGCTCAGCTTTTTTTTTGTTTTTTTGGCCTTTGTATGTCATATTTTAAGTAACTCTCTTAACTAGTCTAGAATGCATACACTAAAGAAAACTTTTCTGTAGTAATTCAAACAAAATATGTAATATGTTGCTCTGTTCTTCTTTTAAAAATATTTCCTGCAATGAGCCTGCCTCTATTGCCGTGATCACAACAACCTTATTTTTATTGTTTGCTGTTCAATCTGTTGCTTGTTGTAACAACTTGCCTTTTTTCCCATGCTTCCAGTGTGCACTTTTCATGATAAAGATCATTATTTGTTGTGTTTTCATAAAACACGGAAAAAAGTGATCCGGGAGCTGCTAGGTATTCTTGTAAAATAACTAATGATGATAATAGTTAGGATATCTCAACTAGTATTATGCCTAAAATGGTAGTGACTGAACTATTAACTTGAAAACAGAAACCATCTCTGTACAGTCAGTACAGTATAGTAACAGAAAGCAATAAAATGATATTTTAATTAGCGTTTCAGAGTATGTAGCACCTATGTGGAAGTAGTCTCTGAGGGACTTACCATAGTTTCAACAACGTATTGAAGCTTCCCTTCCCTGAAGGAAGTCTGTCATTAGAGGCAAGGCATGAAGTTGATAATGAATTCCCTAAGTACCCAAGTAAAGAGAGATTTCATGTCTTTGAAAGAATCCCACCGGTACTGTCTCGCTTGTGCTTGTCAGCAAAAAGCACTAACTGATGCCTCTTCTCTAAGTAAGATAGTCTGGAAGTTGGCTTAAGAAAGAGCGAGATACTGTGTTTGCAACTAAAAAGATGAAGCAGAGAAAAATTTATGTTGGTCCTCCAACGCTGAGTTTTTGTCATGGATCTCTGTTCTTCATTAGTCCTTTCTCTCCTTTTAGCTTCACCTATCTTAGTAAATACTTTGGTTACCCATATCTGGATTTGATGAAGTATTTCAATTTAATGTGATTCAAACACCTATTCCAGCACACAAAAATAAAAATTCAGGAAATAGAGTTCACATAAGCAAGAAACTTAACAAAATCATGTCATCGGTTTCGGTAACTAAGTTTAAGAACAATTTATCTGCAGATGTTCTGCCTGGGTCAGACAGGTGATCAGACTAGATGGCCATTTTGTCTGTAAACCAATGGGGTATTCTGCAAGGAGCACTCCATTACCTGTGAGGAAAATTTCCAAGTTGTAGATTAACTCTTCCTGATCCCGTTTGTCAACGTATGCAGATTCTAGAAAAAGTATTATATCAGCTTGCTTAAGGCAGCATTAGCCCAGGAATTTCTGTTCTACATTCTTTCCTTTTTGAGATATTTTGTCCCATAACCTAGCTTAAATGTCCTTTTCATTATTCATAATGCAGTTTTTTCCAGATTATTTATTCCCTCTATTGCACTAAATCACTGAGCCCAGAGTATTACTTTTTCCTTTTTTATTTTTTGAGAACAAATTTACTCTAATATTTTTAAGTTACAACGTGCAAGTGTTTCTGCTTCTGCGTTACCCAGTTACATACACTTCCCAAAAGTATGTATCTACAGGCATATAAAGGAGTAGGTTAGACTGAAAAAGTCAATTATTTACAGATGACTTAAATTCATTATTTTGGTTCACAGGAAATGCTGGTGAAGTTTTGATCTGATTGAAATTAAATATTTAAAAATTTTAAATCTCAGAACAGAAGTTTTGAGAAACAAATTGACAACAAAATACCTGCCTCCTGCCTGTAAGGCAAAATCTGTTGGTTTTCTTTCTTTGACTAGTGCTCAGTAGGCTACAGAAACTCCCCCCAGTGGGGTCTGCAGAAGAATCCTTAGACCTCAATCCTACTCCAGGATTTCCAGGCTCTGACCTCTGGTTCCTGTAGCTGGAACACCCCCATAGCTTTCTTCTCAGTGGCTTTTTAAGTGCTCCCAAGCAACCCGTTGCAAGGCTGAGAGACAAGACTGTTGCAAGTGGGCCCTACCTAGGGCTTACGCATTCCTTCTGCGAGACCATAAGCTCTGACAGGGCTGGTAGCCGGGAAATCTGAAAGTGTGGGTATCTCCGGCCCCAGGCTGCCCAGGGACAGCAGGTTTGAGTGCTTCCAGGCGTGGGGAGTGCTAAAGGCTCTGCAGCAGGGCCAGTCTGGTGGCAGAGCTGCCAAGGAGGCTCTGTGGGAACCCTGACTTCTAATTTACTATGAATGCCGATGGTACACTATAGGCAGTGGCAGCTGAGGTAGAAGGAAGAAATTATGAACAACTGCTACAGAAATGTTGTCAGGCGCTGTTTTCTAAGAGAGAGCTGGGGGTGAGGGGGAGCTTTTTATATCCAGTACTGACCTCACACTGTCAGTTTTCCATGGAAATAAGGCTTCGACAAGTACACAGTGCTTCTGTCTGCCTACCAAAGATACTATTCAGGGTTTTACTTGCTCCATGCACACTCTTGATGCAATTTGGCTGTATTTTCCAAAATTACTGCTGGGTTCTCTCATCAAAACTTCACAAAAGAGTTTTTTTTTTTTTTAACTTCTTTCTTAACTCACTGTTATCTCTTAAAAAGTGGGGAATAGCGTCTGATTTGTTTCTCTGCTTTTTGTATGGAGGTCCAAACTAATTTTGTTTCACGTTTCAATGTGAAATCTTTAGAATTTGAATTTGACTTCTGGTGGTGCTAATAATATCTGAAAGCAGGCTTATGCTTGCGTGATTGCTATTGTCAGTTTGTAAAAGATTAAGAGCAAATCACATTCTGCAGTGTATATGTGAGAGAGACTGCAAACAGCATCTTTCTTCTTATGTGCAATTCTAGTACTGCCAGCTTCTGCAAAATAAGTAAGGAGGGATAAAAGAGTCGATGCTGTGTAGTTCCTAAGGCTCAGAATCAAAAGAGCTGTGTTGTATTTCTAGCTCTGTCACTGACCTGCTATGTGAATTTGTGATCCTTTCTGTAAAGGGCAACACACTATGTTTGGAGTTTGACTATCTTTGTGTATTTGTCAGCAATCTCTACTGCTCTACGACAGGTTGCTCTACAGAACAATGACATCTTTCGCCTAGGCTTAGGAGAGCTTTTCCTCTCGGCTTTTTGATTAGAGGCCTTTTATTATTCCTGAATTTCCTCTGGGACAGAACTCCCCATACAGGTCTGTACTTTAAAGGGCATAACATCATTCTTGATTTTAAAATGAATGCAGTTTCCCTCTAGCCAAACTTTTCAATGTCTTGACAGAGCCCAAGAAAGTCAAAACAAAACCTAATAGAAACTGAGTAAACTGCTTTATTCAGGCAAATGGAATCTAGGGTAAAGCTAAAAATAAGGTATTGTGTATTAGCTTACCTTAATGAAAATAGGAATGATATCAGAAAATGCAACATGACATGTTAAAAATATCAACAACAAAATTTTAAATTTTCATTTTGAATACCTACTTCAGAAAGGTATTTGTATGTAAAGAAAAAAATTATTAACTTTTTCTAAAAACAGCTGAAGTGCATTTTCAAATTAGGTGGTAGAGAAAAGGAATTATAAGATGAAACCTGATTATAATTTGTATTATTTTTGTGTATGCTGCCTGCACAACACAGCTTCTTTTTATTTGGAAAAGCAGATATGGTCATTCTTCCATTTATCCGACCTCATTATCCTGACAAGTGATGACAGTCATCGGATAATATAGAAATTAGTAGGTAGCACAGGCACAGAAGAGAATATAATATGAACTTCTATTATTTGAATGAATTTTGCTTAAAGCATTCCACATTTAATAGATATAAGTGAGTTACATTTTAAAGTACATTTTTGTTGTTAACACTGCTTTTTTCAACAGCTGGTTCTTTGTCAGACTGGATGATATTCAAAACAGGATTTTGTTGTTCTTTTTCTTCTTGCCATCTGTTGCTGCTATAGACATGTTTCAAGAGATAGCTTCTAAAAGAATTAGGTCGTATTGTAAATTTGTTCTTCTTATGAAATGTTTAAAATTAAAAGCATAAGGAAAATTATAGTATAACAATTCTATAGTATAATTTAATTCATTTGCAAATTTTTCATTTTTAAAGCAATAACAACAAACACATTTTTAGATATGCATGTTCAACTGATACAATTTGTGAGTTAATCTTATATTAAGAGATCTAATTGCATACAAGCCTATAATTGTTTGCTATTTGAACACCAGGCAAGTTATATAAAAGTTATTATTAGGTGCTTAAATATAATAAAATAAAAACAAAGGAAAATATGATTCTGAAATCTTCTTTTAAAAGAGACTGTTATACATTCTGATCATTATTTCATGTGATATTTTTCAGCCTCATTGAACAGAGCAGATAAATTGCTTCAGATCCTGATCTCAGCAAATCCTACCACTGCGTATGGGTCGCTAAGCATACGAGTAGCTTTTTTTCCCCCGCACGCTACATGTCTTGAATTCCTGTATGCTTTAATTATTTTAAGGATTAACCATTAAATTGTACTCGATGGGAGAATTACATATGCAGAAAATTAGAGATTTTCCTCTCTGTCTCCAGCACATCTAAGCACTTTTTCAAAAGGAAAGATAGCAATGGTATGGATATTTGGGACCTGAGCAAATACTGTGATTTCATCTTCAGAGTACAGTGTATTCTGAGTCCTAAATGAAACACAAAGATGCAGAAAAGATATGTGCACCTATTGTCAAGCATAGGTAGTGTCTTCTGTAAAATTAAAGGCCAAAATCATATTCACACTTTCTAGTCTTTGAATGTTTGATGTTGCGACTTTACATACACTTTTACTTTAGTATTCTTTATGTAGCATATTCCTAAGGATACAGGATGTTTGGGCTGAAATGGATTTCTTGGGACAATGTTCACACTGTGCTCATGACCTGGGTTGGTATTCAAGGCTGCATCTGCAACATTTTCTGCATACAAAGAAAGGAAGAAACGATATGTAGCAAAGCCACTATGAGTTTCTAATCATTTGCATACCTGATAAATGCTGTTAATATACTCTCAAAAATAAAATGTGTTTTCCAGCTGTTGATTGCTGGTTGGCAACTAATTGCTATCTTAAAAAGCAACTCACTAAAGGCAGAGTTGCCTGATATGAGCACACATGAGTGGAAGATGCATTGGGCTGCAAGCACAAAAAGGACTAGCCAGGACAAAAGCTGCTTTAGTCAATATTTCCAGCCATGTTCCATTTAGTGAAGCTACCGCTACATTTTTGTTTTTTTAAACCAACATTTCTTACCAATTAGTACATGTTAATTATCATGGTCTTTACATATGCATGGATAGGTATCATCTTGCTAACTCCTTGCTACTGACCAATATTTAATTTAAAGGAAAGTATTATTTTTTTTCTACTTAAATAAATGTTTGACAACTGGTGAAGTGTCAGATGAGTAAAGGAGGGGGGTGAGTTTGTTGCTGTTTAAAAGTGAAAGAGGGTGGGAGGGAACTGCTGACTGCCAGCAAGGTCAGCATAGAACAACATAAGAACAAGAATACCTCAGATGGATAGACTCTTCTTACTAAAGGCTATTTTCGTTGACAAACTGCCTGAATACAAAAACTCATTGCAGTCCTGTGTGGCTGAGCAGCAAGTCTGGTGATCCAAAATCAGGAGACCTGGACCCTAATGTTCAGACTTCAGACAAAGACAAGTTAGCTCTGGAGCTGTAAGTTCTGAACTCTGAACAACTTACAGGGGAGAGTGCCTTGGGTCAAGTGCTCTTGCTACGCCCAAAATCCCCCTTGTATTATTTCCACCATAAACTGGTGAATCTCCAACTTTAAACCTGGAGAAATTTTAATCTAGGGATTTGTTGTTGTTGTTGTTGTTTTTTGCTTCCATTTCTCCTGCTGGAAGACAGTTACAGGAATTTATTCCTCTTGTGGCTTAAAATCATGGTCTATCAGCCTAAATTCATTCATGGCCAAGTTATTCCCCATTGTTCTGTACCACTGTTGTTCTTTAGCTTAGGTAGTTCTCCCTTCCTGGAGTTTATTCTCCTAATCTATTCATAAAGATCCTCATTTTAATCTTTGTGTTGCTTACAAATTTTCGTACAATTACTTCCCTATTCTCTTACTAGCTTTTTTTTTAATAAGTAATCATCACTGCATACTGAATTGATATCGATGTATATTTTGAGGTCCACATGTGATAGGCAGAGCTATGATAAGCAGTCCTAATTTGAACAGTATCGCACAACTCAGTATTGCATGTGGTTACACCGGTAATATACACAAAATTTAAAGGGTGATTGTCAATCAGTCCAGAACAGTTTGGGAGTTTCTTGTATGCACTGCTTCGTATGAATTCTTAACAGTGTCTTGCACAATGTCATCAATAGTTCCCTGTTACTGCATGAAACATAACACTTCATTCACTCCTATTTATTAAGGGTTATATATTTATATGAGGAGTTGGACTAGATAATCTCCAGAGGTCCTTTCCAATTTTGACTATTTTGTGATAAACATTTACAGTTGCAATGTGTTGTAGGATCATAATTATCCTATGGCTGAGGATTGTTCACGGATCTGGTTCATTCTCTGCCACTTGTAATTAATGAGCTCTGAGTTTTTAACTGTTCTTCTTAGTCCATACGTGCAGAAACAT